CTATTAGGCTGGACTGGCTGCCAGCAAACTCCAGAGATCCACCTGCCTCTGCCTCCCCAACACTGGGCTTATATAAGCATACAACCACACTCAGATTTTTTTACATAGATGCTGGGGATCAAACTCAGGTCCTCATGCTTACAAGGCAAATACTTTACAGACTGAGCCATCCCCCAACCCTTTGTCAAACATATTCCTCGCAGCAAACCACAAGGCAGGAGTTGGCTTTAACCTCCTTACAGATGGTATCAATTTTTTAAATCCCCTGGTCTCAAGGCTGGGACTGACCCTAGGATAGAGGCCCTGGTGTGATCAGCAACCCTTCTACAAACCACCTCTCATGGCCATCTTAAAGCTGCCACCTGTCCCTTCACCCCAAATAGATTCAGAAGAACTGAGGCTCCCACCACATTAGGAGGCTACCAGAAGCAATTGCAATCTTGTATGTGCATATGTGTATGTGTGTGTGTGGTATATACGTGTATGGTATGTGTGGTGTATGATGTTTGTGTGGTGTGCATGTATGCGTATGATGCATGTAGCATGTGGTGTGGTGTTTGTGGTATATATGTGTGTGGTATGTGTACATGTATGTGGTGTGGTATATGGTGTGTATGTTGTGTGCTGTGTGTTGTGTGTGTGCTGTGTATGAACTGTGTGTATGGTGTGTGTGTGGTATGTATATGTGGTGTATGTGTGGTGTGTATGTAGTATGTGTGTATGTGTATTGTGTATGTAGTGTGTGGTGTGTGTATGTGTGGTGTGTGTGGTGTGTGTATATGTGTGTGTATGTATGGTGTATATGTGTGTGTGGAGTGTGGTATATGGTGTGATGTGTATGCCTATGTGATAAGTGGTGTGTAGGTGGGTGTGGTGGGTATGGTGGGCATGCGTGTGTGGTATGTGGGGGGGGTACATGCACAGATGTGAGTGCACATGCATGTAGAGACCAGAGGTTAATATCAGGTATCTTCCCCAATTGCTCTCTGACATTTTTTTAGACAAGGTCTCTCACTGAGCCTGGAGCTCATGGATTTGGCTTGACAGGCTACAGGGACCTTCCTGCTTCCACATCTCAGTGCTGGGATCACAGGTGCATGCCACCACACCCAGCTTTCTATGTGGGTGCTGGGGATCCAAACTCAGGTCTTAACGCTTGTACAGCAAGCATTTTACCTACTGAGCCATCTCCCCAGCCCCCAATCCCAATCTTTAAACAATTCCCTGAAGATCCTCAAAAGCCATCCAGGCTAGACAAGACATGATGTCCAAGGATGGCCACTCAAGCCCCAGCTAAAGTAGGAAGATGGGGATCTCAGAGGAGAGCCCTCTCCACTTTGAAGCACCCTCCACCCATTCCCCAGAGCAAGACTTTAATTTAGCTGAAGCGCCACTCACAGAATTGTTTTCCAGTTGTAATCATCTTAAAACACAGTTCAAGTGTTTTTGCTCTGGTATTTAGCCTGCTTTTTAGAGGACAACCCTTCCTGCGATAAACTGAGAAGACACATGAACAGCCTGGGTGATTTAAATACAAAAAATCTAGGAAAAGTCATAAAGGTAAGGGGATCATTTGACAAAACCAAGTGTCTTGACTTTAATCATGTCAGGAACTCACACATACTGACACTGGACAAGATGACCCTTTGACATAGAGTACTAACAGGTGGTTTGGTCTAGTGATTGTCATTTCTAACTCCAGACCTCATAAGCTATGTTTTACCATCTCCATCCCTTGACATTTCCATGTCTGATGTATCAGCCAGAAACCAAGTTTTGAACATTTAAAAAATAAGAATGAGAATTTATTGTCTTCATATATAAAACTGGAGGGTTCTTTTGTTTTGGGTACAGTTAGATTCAGGCGCTCAGTTGATACGATCAAGACTTGATCTCCCCTGTCACTGTTCTGCTTTCCTCTGTGTTGGGGTTGGGGTTATTTTCCAAGCTTCCCTGCATCCATCGTGAGGAGCTGCACCCCTCAGGGCACCATCCTCCTAGTTAGCGCTCAGAATAGAAAGCAAGCCTCTTCTGAAATCAGGTCAGTTCCTCTTGAATATAAATCTCACCTGCAAGGGCTCAGTAGAGTGCTCATCACACAAGTATGAGGACTTGAGTTCTGATCCCTGGCACCCATGTAAAAAACTGGACTCGGTGGTGCACAATTGTAATCTCAGTTCTGGGGAGGCAGAGACAAGGCACATGCCGAGGGCTCACTGGCCAGCCAGTTTGGCCAAATTGATGAGTTCTGGATTTTTCGAGAGACCTTGTCTTAAAAAATAAGAAGCTGGGCGTGGTGGCGCACGCCTGTAGTCCCAGCACTTGGGAGGCAGAGGCAGGCAGATCTCTGTGAGTTCAAGGCCAGCCTGGTCTACATACTGAGTTCCAGGACAACTGGGGCTACAGGGAGACCCTGTCTCAAAAAGACCCAAAAAAAAAAAGAGAATGACTAAGGAAGATACTCAACATGGGCTTCTGGCCTCCACCTGCACACATGTGTACCTGCACTTGCACACACATAATGTTACCTATAGATGATGATAAGGAAATACTGAGGGAAAACTACTGAGGAGAGAGATGTATCTTTGGCAGAGTTTGGGACTCAGAATGACTAAGGCAACATCTGAGAGTCGCTGTCATAAGAAGATGATGGATAAATGTTTGTGGTTGGGTGGCAGACTGTGGGTCTTCATCTACACCCTCCAAGCACTCAATGGTGATGTTCCTGGTACTGCCTGGCTCTTGGCTGCTAGCAGGGAGGGGAGGAATTACAGGGAGTTCATGTCACCAGGAGGGGCACTGGTGGATAAGTATGTCAACTTCCTCATCCTTTTGGTGAAGTAATGAGTAGGCTTGTGTGCTACACTCTCTTCCAGCAGGACTGAGCACCAATCACCCTCAGCAGTAGCAATAGGCTTGTCAGAACAATAGCTCTCGACCCATCCCCTGTGCTTCCCTGTCCCATATTCCAACTCCTTGACCTGTGATCACCCCCAAGGAAACCTCTGAACTCTCATCCTTAGCTCAAAATGTGCTGCTGGAAAACACAGCCTCAGACAGGTGCAGATACAAACAGCCTGGAATCAGAATGGAAATTATGAGCACTTGGTAAGTGCTGGCTGACTGGCTGACTGGCTGACTTGCTGGCTGGCTGGCTGGCTGGCTGGATGGATGGATGGATGGATGGATGTTCAAATCTCCTCTCAGCTACTGCTGAGCTGTGTGCATTTGGGCAAGTTATGAAACCTCTCTCTATCCCATGTTCCTCAAATGCAGGATTCTCTATCTTGGAGCCATTGACATTTAGGGCCAGGTCATTCCAGGGGCAGGGAACTGTCCTGGTGGGGGGTGGGATGGTGGGGTGGGGGTTGTCTTGCAGCAACTTTGGTCTCTACCCAGTAGGTGGCAGTATCATGTGACGTCATTAAAAGGTCTCCAGGCTGGGTGTGGTGACATATGCCTTTAATCCCAGCTCTTAGAAGGTAGAGACGTGGATCTCTGTCAGTGTGAGGCCAGCCTGGACTACATAGCAAGTTCCAGGCCAGTCAGGACTACATATTGAGACCCTGTCTCAAAAATAATGTCTCCAGGTTTTGTCAAATGTACCCTTGGGGGAAAATTTCTCCCAACCAAAATCTACTGCAGTAAATGGAGATTATAATAGAACATATGTCATGTAAATGAGGATTTTATTTTGTTTGGTTTTGTTGTGACAGGGTCTCATTAAGCTCAGACTGGTCTTGAATTTGATATGTAGCTGAGGATGATATTGAACTCTTGACCTACCTGCCTCCATCTCCCAAGTGCTAGAATCACAGATGTGCATCAACACATCCAGCTTTGTAATTGAGGGCTGATATTTGCAAGTCTTAAAATGGCTCCTAGCACTTAGTAAATACTAGGTGAGTTGTTATTACTGTTATTCATCACCATTACCATCAGCAGCAGCCCTATCGACATCACCATCAATCACCATCATCACCATGATTATCATTATCAGCATCCTCATCACCATCACCATCCACAGCAGCAGCATATGCCCTGTCAGAATTTACAGGTAAATTGTAGGCTGAATCAATGAACAAGGCTAACTGTGTACCTGTGGTTACTCTTCTCACCTCCAACTGAGACATTTACTATCAGGAAAAGCCAAGTTGAGTCCCATTATGGAGTCGCCAGATAAAATATAGGATGTGGGGGCTGGAGAGATGGCTCAGCAGTTAAGACCACTGGTTACTCTTTCAGAGAACCCGGGTTTGAATCCCAGCACCCACACCGCAGCTAACAACCATCTGTAACTCCAGTTCCAGGGGACCAATGCTCTCTTCTGACCTCTGTGGGCATTGTATGACATGGGTGCACTTACATACATGCAGGCAAGACACTATATGCATAAATTTTTTTCCACGTTAAAAATGCATTTTTATTAAAGAATACCACATGCATACTGTTCCTTGGCACCACTGCCAAAGGATGAGAGTATTTACAACCAATATCAGTTTCTGCAATAGGGAATCTCCCACAGCTCTGGCAGATTCTACTTCCTGTCCTGATAGCTGCTGCTATCCAGGCTGTGTGAATGCAAGGAAGCCACTGCTGTCCTTGTAGATGCCCTCCATCAAAGGGAACAGGCTTCACTAGAACCAGACAGCCTGGTGATCAGGGAAAGTCAAATACTGCTATTGAAGGTGGAGCCTCTCCTCCCTCCAGGCTCAGCAGAGGTAGGATGCCACAGAAAACACCTGTCTGTAAGTAGAAGAACTTTCATTTGTCCAGGCTGCCCTTGGACTTTCAGTGCGCCTCTTGTCCCCAGCCTCCCCAGTGCTGGAATCGCAGGCACGATTCAGCATGCTTGACTGCCCTACTTTGAGTGGTAAAGACACCTTTAGCTTAAGTCTTCATTATGCTGGGGTGATGGCTTTTCTTTCCATATGTTCAATTAGGAATTACCAGGCCACATGACACTTGTCAGCCTTCAAGGACCTGTGAAAAATCTCATGAATATCATCAGACCATCAGTCTGAATCCGGATCATGGGGGCTGTCATAGCCAAATTCCTTCTGTACATACAAAGGGTACTTGTTCCACACCAGTTGCCTGCTGCCTCTTTCCTCCTCACTGAGGCTGTCATCAGAGCCTCTGGAATCTTCATCTCCATCACTGCTATCTTCATCTGGGTACTCATTGCACCAATTATTTTCACTGTTCTCATCATCTTCATCCTCGTAAGTATCTTCTGGTTGCTGATCATCATTCATCAGCTCCCACTCCTGGTTGTAAGGCTGCACAGATAGGATGTTCTCAATCCACCCAGGAGTGGCCATCTCTACGTAGTATATGTCATACACACAGTCATCATGCTTTGGTTCCTGCTGGTGCCCCACTTCTAGTCCATTCTCAGATACAGTCAGCCTTTCACGGATCAACTCTACAGAGCTGTGGAGGATCATATCTGGATCACATGTTTTGCAGTAGTCTGTGGCAGCGGCCTCTGGGTTTCCCTCCTCGTGGATCAGGTCCAACAGCTGGAAGCCTGTGTCCCCGACAGCTTCTGGGTTCCCCAGATCCCCCTCAGACTCCAAGCTGCCAAGGGTCCCGGAGAATCGGTGTCTGGAGACTATCCTGTAGCGACCCTCTTTCCGGACCTCGCGAACCGAGGCACGGAGGTGGCGGCGGATACGTTCTTGGCTGTTGCAGGACGGTCGCAGGGCAGCCCTCACCAGCGGGTGGATTGGGTCCTCCTGGGAGTGCACAGTAGCAACCAACTGGAAGATTTTGTTCTCCGCCTCTTTCTCCAGCCCCTCTGGCGTCTCCTGGACCGGCCACTCGACCTTGGAGCTGCGGGGGCGTTTACAGGCCAGCACCAGTGCCTCCGCAGGCTCTGTATTCCGCTTCCGTTTCACGCGCAGCACCGCAGTCCTGCCGGCCTCCATAGCGACTGTCGGAGCACTATATGCATAAATTTTATAAATACACACACATATGTATTAGGGTTCTCTAAAGAAACAGAACCAGTAGAATGAATATATATTCATATATATTCATATATATGGGGATTTATCAGATTAGCTTACAGAATTGAGTCCAAGTAGTCCATCAATGGCTGCACCACAGTGGAAAGGCTGAGAATATGGTAGTTGCTCAGTCCACGAGGCTGGCTATCTCAGTAGTCCCAATCTGGCACTGCTGAAGGTCTGATGAATTCCAAAAGTCTTCAGTCTACAGCAGCAAGACAAACTCACCAGAGAGAGAGAGAGAGAGAGAGAAGGCAAGCAGCAAAAAGCAAGAGCACTCTTCTGCCCTGGCCTTTTATACAGGCTGCCATCAGAAGGCAACACCCACATTTAGGGTGTGTCTTCCAGCCTCAGAGATGATCCAATCAAGAAGCTCTCTTGGCCGCACGGCTGCACACGCCTTTAATCCCAGAGGCGATCCCAGGGCGTGGTCACATACGCCTTTAATCCCAGAGTGTGGTGGCACACGCCTTTAATCCCAGGGTGTGGTGGCACACGCGCCTTTAATCCCAGAGGCGATCCCAGGGCGTGTGGCACACACGCCTTTAATCCCCGAGGCAATCTCAGGGTGTGGTGGCACAGGCCTTTAATCCCAGAGGCGATCCCAGGGCGAGTGGCCCACGCCTTTAATCCCAGAGGCAGGGGCAGGCGGATCTCCAGGAGTTCCAGGCCAGTTTGGTCTCCATAGTGAATCCAGGCCAGCTGGGGCTACAGGGAGACCCTGTCTCAAAAAGACCGAAAAAACAAAAACAAAAACAAAAAACCCTCTCTCTCATTTCAGTTAATCCCAGATCCAGTCAAGCTGACACCCAGGATTAGCCATCACGATATATATAACATATATAATGTGAGCTAGGGAGATAACTCAGTCAGTAAAGTGCTTGCAAAGTCTTGTAAACACTCAAAGGAGAATTCAATCCCCAGAAGCCAGCTGAAAAACAAAAAGTCCAGGCCTGGTGGCATACACTTAAAATTCCAGTGCTGGGAGGCAGAGACAGGTGGGTGTCTGGAACTTGCTGGCCAGCCAGCCTGGCCTACTCAACTAGTTACAGGCCAGTTACAGACCCTTTCCCTAAACAAAAGGCAGACAGCACCTGAGAAATGACACTAAGGTTGTCCCCTGGCCTACACACACATACACACACACACACACACACACACACGCATACACATACACACAAGTGCACACACAAGCACATGTACTCACACATACATACACACACATACACACATTCATGCACACATGTACACACACACCTAATTTAACTCAAATGTCAGTTAAATAACAAGTCATTTTTAGTGTATGTATGTCACATAGAACATTTATCCTAAAATTTACTGGTTATGGAAAATCAAAATTTAACTGGATGTTCTAGGTTTTGTTTGCTGAGCCTGGTGCCCATCTTAACACATACCTTTGGATACTTAACTTCATCTCACTGAGTTTCTATTTCTTCACCAACTAGATGGGTCACAGCATCTTACTTTGCAGGGATTTATAAAGATTAGAGAAAAAAAAACTAGTAAATGTAACTTTAGCACACAGGATGTAGAATGAAAAACAGAAATTACATGTGCAGTGGTCAAAATGCTGTATTTGTTATTGTTGTTGGGCTCATGTAGTATTTGTGAAATGACTAGATGGAAGATGGATGGATGATGGATAGATGGATAGATAGACAGACAGATGGGTAGGTAGACAGACAAGAGAATCCATGATCCTTTGAGAGCAAAACAAAATACACTAACTTCCCACTTCAAGGAAAGATGAAGGGTCTTCAGACAGACCTGAGTCTGTATCTCCACTTCCCTACTGTGAATGATCCTGGTCCTCACATCTCTGAGTCTCTTTTTGCTATTTATCACCTCAGCACAGTGGTTACATTTACCCTACAGAGTTGTCCTGAGCCAGTGATTCCATGCACATGGGGCCCTACAGCAGCTGGCTCCTAACCTCTTAACTACCACCTATTCTCTACCAGCTTTACTATTACCATTTACTATTGACCATTGACCTTTACTATTACCATTCACCTAGATAAGATTTTTTAAAAAAAAAAAAAAAAGCTCGTTCCCTTATTTTGCCACAATACAATCAAAAAGCAAAAGGTAGTTAGGAAAAAATAAAAGCAAACACCAACAGAGAATCATCCCAAGGTGGGGAGACCAGGCTCAGAGAAGCAGGTATTTCCTTGTGGCGAATTTACACCCAATACAAAACAGGCCCATTTCTTGGGGAAGGAGAGAGATGACCTCATCCCAGGGAGACAAACACCCTGAGTGCTTGGTGAGTCTGGGCCCAAGGAACATTACTGAAACGTATCTTAACACCTTTCATTCCAGAGATCAGAGTCCCCAGGGTCCCTCTGCTTGTGATCAGTCACCTTCATTATTTCCAACTCAGTACATGTGCATCTGTCTGCTCAGCCCAGTTTTCACAAGGTCCCTAAAGGCCAAGGAATGAATAACACAGAAAGTTCCAGAAGTGTGAGCTGGGTGGGATGCTCTCCTCCCAGGGAGTCAAGCAAGAACAAACAGCCCAGTGCTTTCATCCTTGACCCACCCTGGCCACCATCCTGTTCCCTACTGCTGCTAATACCCCTCACAGGGCCTCTCTTAACTTCATTAGTGTGTCTATGTGTTTAGTGGGTGCCTCTGTTGTAGCATGTTTGGAGGCCAGAGGGCAACTGTGCAGAGTCAGTTCTCTCCTTCCATCTTTACATAGGCTCCAGGAATCAAACTCATGTCAGCCTTGCATATCAAGCACATCTTTATGCTGAGCCATTTTGTCAACCCTTCCCTACCCCTTCACACACAGGGAGGGACTCTTGTTAAAAGGTGACTCATGCCGGATGTGGTGGCGCACGCCTTTAATCCCAGCATTTGGGAGACAGAGGCAGGCGGATCTTTGTGAGTTCGAGGCCAGCCTGGTCTACATAGTGAGTTCCAGGACAGCTAGGGCTACAAGGAGACCCCGTCTCAAAAAGACAAAAAAAAAAAAAATTGATGACTCACAGAGGCTAGGGACATAGCTTAGTATGTGGAATACCTGCCCAGCATATATGAAGCCCTGAGTTTGATCCCCATTATGGCAAAAACCAGAATGTGGTAGCTCATGTCCATAATCCCAGCACTTGGGAAGTAGAGGCAAGAGGATCAGGAGTTCAAGGCCAGCCTGGGCTACAATGAGACCCTATCTCAAAAATAGATAGAGCCAGGCATGGTGGTGTATGCCTTTAATCCAAGCACTGGGGAGGCAGAGGCAGACAGATATCTTCTTATGAGATTGAGGCCGGCCTGGTCTACATAGCAAGTTCCAGGCCTGCTGGGACCACAGAAAGACCCTGCCTCAAAAAGAACAAAAATAAAGTCATATCATGCCAGCCTCCACACACACACTAAGGCCTTCTATGGCTTCCAGAAGGGCTCCAGCCAGTCCTCTCCCTTAGCTGACCCTTTTTCCTCCATCTCTCAGTTACACTTGCTGCTCCTCTATGCAGACTGGCTTCCCTGCCTTTACCTACAAATCTCCAGAACAGTCCACCCCTGATGCCACCATCCTATCTTCCCCAAGACTTCCAGAACCTTCATACAGCTCATGGTTTCAGGGGTGGGTGCATTCCCCAATGTGGTTGGCTAGAGGCTGGCCTCTGGAGTGTGTGTTTATACAGAAATGGAAACTCAGGAGCAGGGAGAAGGGCAGCTGGGTCCCTGATACACTCTGTCGCATCTGAATTTGCCACAAAGTGTATGAGTCATAGCACCATCCTTAGAAGGAAAGGAGAAGACTCAAGTGTGTGTTATACCTCCTCCAGGGAACCTTGGAGACAGATGCCAGACGTACCTCAGAGGTACAATTCAGCTTTGTTCTCCTGCCATCTCTACCCTGGCCATCTGCAGAGAATGGACTGTTCCAGAAGAATAGAAGAGGGAGAAGAGTTCTTCTGTCATTCTGAAAGAGAGCCTGGAAAGGGGGGGGTGACAGGGGAATGGGGGCAGGAGTGGAGGGCTCTGTGGGTGAGAGTGGTCACATTCACAGGCATTAATAAATCCCACATACTTTTTCTCAAGCTCACCCTAGGAGACTGGCTGAGGGACAAGAGTGGCCATTTGGGGGATGCTGGGCCACCCCTAAGTACCTGAGAACGATTACAGTGATGCCAACACCTCACAGTGGGAATTTACAAGTCTACTGAACACACAGAGCTGGGGCTGTTCATTTACTTGGGAAAAATCTGGCTTCAGCGCAGTGTCCTCCCTCAACTTTTTTATTTTTTTACAGGGTCTCATGTGACCCAGGCTTACTTGAACTCTTTTTTTTATGTGTATATGTGAGTGCCTGCCTGTATGCAAGTGTACCATGTGCATGCACTATCAGGGTCTCATGTGACCCAGGCTTACTTGAACTCTTTTTTTTAATGTGTATATGTGAGTGCCTGCCTGTATGCAAGTGTACCATGTGCATGCACTGCCCATGGATGCCACAGGGGGCATTGGATCCCCTGGAACTGGGATTTAGGTCAGTTGTTAGCTACCATGTGGGTGCTGGGAATTGAACCCAGGTCCTCTGTAAGAGCAGCCAGTGCTCCTAACCATTGAGCCCTCTCTCCAGTCCCTTAACTCCTTCTTGATACTCTAACAGCTGGGGAGGGGAAGAGACAACAGGGAGACAAGGAAGGAGGGTGACTCAGCTATAGTGTCCCTTCTTCTGTGGCTTCAGACCTTGGGGGCTCAAGAGAAGAGAAACTGTTTTCTTGTATTTGTGTGTGTGTGTGTGTGTGTGTGTGTGTGTGTGTGTGTGTGAATAGGGAATCTCACTGAACCTGGAGCTAGGCTAGCAGTTAGCAAATCCTAGGATTTTCCTGTCTCTGCCCACCACAACACTGGGGTTATAGGTGTCCTTTTTACGTGGGTGCTGGGAATAAGAATTCAGGTCCACAAAGCAAGCACTCTGACCTACTGAGGCCTCTCCCCAGTCCCTCCTCTTGTGTTTTTAGGAGCAGCCAGGAGTGGCTGGGGAACCAGGTCCTTGCCCTGCTCCCAGTATCACCACAAGAAAAAAAACACGTGTTTATGGTGAAGTCTGTTCACCCAGCTGATCTGAACCACACTGAAGCTGCCAGAAGACACAGCCTCAG